CTTGGGTGCAGCAGGGGTGTGGGATGCAGCAGGGGGCTCAGGGTGAAGCAGGGGGGTGGGATTCAGGCAGGAGGCTCAGGGCAGGGAGTTGGGGTGCAGGAGGGATGTGGGATGCGGCGGGGGCTCAGGGGCAGGGGATTGGGGTGCAGGCAGGGGGCTCAGGGCAGGGGATTGGGGTGCTGGCAGGGGGCTCAGGGCAGGGAGTTGGGGGGCAGGGTGCAGGAGGGCTTCAGGCTCTGTGGGCCGCATGCGGCATGTTTGAGACCCCTGATCTAGTCTGACCTCCTGTTTGTAACAGGCCTTTAAATTTCACCCAGTTATTCTGTAAGCATTAGTATACAGCTCAATTTAATTAACACATACAATAATCATTGAACTGATTTAATGCAAAATATTTCTCCTTGAACACTTTAGTTATTTAAGATTTTAACTTTCCAATTCATCATATTGGATAATAAGCCACAACTGATAAGCCATAATTATGACAATTCAATATTGTGTAGTGTGATAAAGAAATCAAATACCCCCAGGCTGCAGCTTATAAGTTTAGAGAGTAAGAGTGTATTGAAATGGACAGGAAGGAGGGGACAGACTAAACAAAACAATCCCAAGGCACAGCCTTAATTTCTACATCAGCCTATGTTATTACATCAGTATTGGTGCTGTTGGATGGAAAATTTCACTAAAAGGTGACACTGTCAATCAAATGTTGAACATCAGTTGTCTGAAGAATTATGATTATGCATACAGAGCCCTGATTACCTGGACAGCTGTTAACAGTCTATTTGTTACAGATAGGCCCATTCAATCCATCCTATGAGAAGATCTTCAGTCATTTCCAGAATGTGAAATACAAAGGTGAGTGGCTGTTGTATGCAAAAGATCAACAGTGGGTGAATGTATCAGAACCTTATCATTGATGGGATTCTTGCAGGGCATGTCATGCTTTTGTCAAAACTGCTTCAGAACGGTTCCAAGTACAGTGCACTCCTCTTAAGTGCATCATACAGGTAGCTTGAGGTAAACTTCTGTGCATTAGTATCACATGTTCCTAACTGGGTTGTATGACTTGCATGTGCTGTTACTTTGGCTACTTGCCCCTCAATTTAGTATGCAGATAGCTGATTTATGCAAATAATGATCACTGGTGTGCTCACTGCCAGTAAGCAAATGGTCAGAACTCACCGGATTTTTTCCTCAGGTATCTTTTTAAAAAAAGCTGTAGGTGGATGCAGTAAAATGCAGACAATGTTGATGAGATGTATAGAAACATGGTGTTGACAAGAAAATCTTCAGCGTAGTGGCAAAAACACTCAAACCATTATGAATAGCAGACAGCGTATTTCAAACCCGAGTCCTCTACACATAGGTCTACACTGTGGTTGGAGGTGTGATTGCAGCATGGTTTGGTATATCCATGCTAGCTTTAATCTAGCTAGCACAGCTAAAAATAGCAGTGAAGATGTGGCAGCATGAGCTTCAGCGCAGGTTAGCAACTTGAGTACATACTCAGGCTCCTTGGTGTATTTGTACAGCTTGGTGCTGAAGCCTGCACAAGCACATCCTCTCTGCTAGTTTTAGCTGTGCTAGCTAAATTAAAGCTAGCACAGATACACCTATCAAAGCTGCAATCACACCTCTGATTGCAGTGTAGACAAACCCTAAATGTCTAATATTGGGTAGTTGTCTGCATTGCTTATAAAGAAATTCATTCAGTAGTGCTCCTGAGCAGAGCGCACTCAATAGTAAAGAGCAACTTTTCTCATTAATCACAACCCTGGTTTGGTATCCAGGTGTAACATGTCAGACTTGTATAAGAACAAATTTAGAAGTGGTTTAATGAACTACATTTCTATATTAAATTGGGTCTAGCATCTATCAAAGTAAATTTTTTCCTTTTCCTTTGAGATCAGAATGTTTGCTGAAAACAAATTTGCCCTACTGGGACTCACCTGTGCAGAGATATACAGCAAACCAATGCAGTCCAGTAGAAAGTCATAATGATGCAAAGTAGATTAGCATTGAGAGAAGTGTGATTAAGAATACGGAATTAAAATGGATCCTCTCTTTCAGACCAGGTAGCTCTAGTCCCAGGTTTTGACATCCAAGAACTGCTTCCTGACCAACTGGATGAGTATTATCGCTATGAAGGATCCCTGACCACTCCTCCTTGTTTCCCTAGTGTTCTCTGGACAGTTTTCCGACACCCGGTAAAAGTTTCACAAGAACAGGCAAGTTTAAGTAAAACAGATATTTTCTTATTTAACCTGTCATTGTAGCCTAAAGTCTGATATTAAATTAAATGCTAATAAATTAATCTGTTTGGTGTTTATTAAGGAATGTTAAATTTGTATTCTCATTTCCTGGATTCCAAATATGAAGTTTTCCATAAGGTCTCTCTGACAAAGCTCTGTCCTTGTCTCCATGGGTCCTGCGTTTCCTGGTGGATTTCGCTAGCCTCAGAGGCTCATTGTGACCCTCCACTTAACCCTTCTTTCTCTAGAGACAAGGGTCACGGTCTACTGAGCCATTTTCATCATAAGCCAGCGAGGGAGGTGAGGAGAAGCTATCCTCCCTTGCACAGTCTCTGTTGTCTCCCAGTCTCAGTAATTAATCAGGGGGACAAAGGGCAGGGGATCCCAGGCCCACCCTCTACTCTGGGCTCCAGCCCAGGGACCCTAATAGTATCAACTATGGTAGCTGACCTTTTAGGAACAGGACACGTACAATTCCCTGGGCTACTTCCCCACAGCAGCCCCCACTTCCTCAAGCTCCACTTCACCCTTACCTCAGGGCCTCCCTCTTTGTGCCTAATATGGTGTGAACAGCTCAGTCTCTCCCACAGCGCAACTTCTTCTCACAGCTCCTGACATGCACGCATAGGCGCCAACTTTCTCGGGCGCGGTTGGGTGTCCGCGCCCCTTTCCCCACCCCAACTCCACCCTTTCCCTGCCTCTGGCCCCCATTCCAACCCCACTCCAAAGTCCCCGCCCTAACTCTGCCCCCTCCCTGCCCCTATTGGATCCCTTCCCCAAATCCCTGCCCCGGCCCCGCCTCTTCCCCCAGCGCGCTGCGTTCCCCCACATCCCCTCTCCCTCTCTGCCCCGCGAATCAGCTGTTTCGTGGCGCAAGCGCTGGGAGGGAGGGAGGAGAAGCAGGATGCGGTAGCGTGCTTGTGGAGGAGGCAGAGGTAAGCTGGAGCAGGGGGGGCAGAGAGCTGCCAGTGGGTGCTGAGCACCCGCCAATTTTTTTCTGTTGGTGCTCCAGCCCCAGAGCACCCACGGAGTCGGCGCCTATGGATGCGCACCCACCTAACTCGGAGGCTTTTAACTAGTTTCAGCCAGCCCCTGATTGGCTTCAGGTGTCCCAATCAACCTAACGTCCTCCCTGCCTTCTGGAAAGCTCTTAATTGACCTGGAGCAGCTGCCATTTACTTATCTTGGTACCAGGGATTTGTTTAGCCTGGGGCTAATATATCTGTCTTCCACTACTTTTCTATAGCCATCTGGCCTTGCCCCGTCACAGTCTCATAAAACTAAAAGGTGTGATTATTCAAATTAATCTTAGAGTGGGAAAAAGAAAATTATTTAATCTCTTTGATCCATCATATTTTGTTTGCAATTGACATGCAAAGGCCACAGGACTGGAGACTGGATAGCTTTTTAATTCAGAATAAACACATTACAGTCCAAATTTTCAGCCCCACCTTAATGGGATCTTTATTTTTGTGCCCACAACTTTGTGGATAAAAATAACTGGTGATGCAGTTTAAGGTCACCTGAACTTCCAAGTACCTGACTGCCCCTGAAAATTAGATACAGGACACCTTAATTGTGTCTGCTATCCATCATAGGTGAAAAGTTTCACACACAGTTAAACAGGGACACAGAGAGAGATTTATGTTTGAAACTCGTAGTCAATTCCTTTGTTTCAGCACTTGCTCTCTACATGCAAGTATCTTTCATGAATTGCTAGTCCAATCCTATGTAACAGTAACATCCAGATAGGAACAACTTCTAGCTTTGATTTTGGTTTCATAAAACCAAAGCCTAACTGGCGACGGGTTATTTGGCAAAACAAAAGCTACCCTGGTTTTTACCCACCTCTAGTCTTCATGTGCATGTCTTAGGCTGTGGCTACACTCGAAACTTCAAAGCGCTGCTGCGGGAGCGCTCCCGCGGCAGCGCTTTGAAGTGTGTGTGTGGTCGCGTGCCAGCGCTGGGAGAGAGGTCTCCCAGCGTTGCAGGTACTCCACCTCCACGAGGCTGGGGCACTGTTTACACTGGCGCTTTACAGCGCTGTAACTTGCTGTGTTCAGGGGGGTGTTTTTTCACACCCCTGAGCGAGAAAGTTGCAGCGCTGTAAAGTGCCAGTGTAGCCATAGCCTTAGAAACTAATTACGTTTTTTCCCCCCTCTCAGGTGGTCAACTGATAAACTAGCAGGAAAAGAGAAGAAACATGTTCTATACTGAGTTATATAACCCCCAAACACCAGATTCTTCTGACCCACATCAGGTGGAGAGAGCTTAGCTAGTAACTTACAAATAAGAAATCCAAACTGTTTTATCACAGAAATCTATGACCAAGTTAGCAGCTGCACTCCTTTTGGTGAGCATTCATTTCTATGAAGCTCGCCACTGCGTGTGCATTCCTTACCTTACCAAAATATCCAGCTTATTAAGATTACTTCTATTACTTGCTTCAGACTTGGACTGTTTACGCTAATATTTCAACCACCCCTTCATGGAAGGAAACTTTCCCTCAATAATAATTTTTTTCTTCTTCGCTAGTCCTTTTATTAACTTAAAATCAGACCCATTCATGTGATACCTATTCCATTCCAGGTCAAACAGCAGGAACGAGTGGGATTGGGTACTTTTGGGGGGGGTTTTGCATACACAGATGTTTGTTTGCTGTGTTTTGAGGTTTAAGAAAAACAAGCAGAGAACAAGTCTACAAACACTCGTCATGAAATAAGGGCTTCCTCTTCCACATTTTCCTGACAGCTACATATCAATTATTAGAGTTACTCTAACATAATTAAATTAAGTTCATATATGGACATGGAGAAACAGCCTTTTAGACAATTGAGGTCACACTGTTTGCACATCAAATTATATTTGGCATAAGTGCTGGAACTAGGGGTGCTGCTAATTGCATCCCCTGGCTTGACATGGTTTCCATCATATCCAAGGTTTACAGTTTGGTTCAATGGCTCTGAGCACCCCATTATGAAAATTGTTCCAGCATCCCTGACATTTGGGCTAACACAGCACATTGCATTGGTAGCTACTGCATAACTGAACCCAACTCCTTCATCCATCTCTGTGTGTTGAAACAGTCCCTCTTTGGATGGAATTGATTCTGAGGGTATGTCTACACTACGGGATTAATCCGAATTTATATAATTCAAATTTTGGAAACAGATTGTATAAAGTCGAATGTATGCGGCCACACTAAGCACATTAATTCGGCAGTGTCCGTCCATGTACCAGGGCTAGCGTCGATTTCCGGAGCGTTGCACTGTGGGTAGCTATCCCATAGTTCCCGCAGTCTCCTCCGCCCATTGGAATTCTGGGTTGAGATCCCAATGCCTGATGGGGCCAAAAACATTGTCACGGATGGTTCTGGGTACATCCTCCCCCCTCTCCAGGGAAGCAATGGCGGACAACCGTTTCGCGCCTTTTTCCTGGGTGAACACTGCAGACGCCATACCACAGCAAGCATGGAGCCCACTCAGCTCATTGTAAACACCTCACGCGTTATCGTGCAGTTTATGCTGAACCAGAACCTGCAAAACCAGGCGGCGAGAAGTAGGCTACGGCAGCGCGACGGTGAGAGTGATGAGGACATGGACATGGAATTCTATCAAACCGCGGGCCCCGGTGCTTTGGAGATCATGCTGTTAATGGGGCAGGTTATAGCCGTGGAACGCCGATTCTGGGCCCGGGAAACAAGCACAGACTGGTGGGACCGCATAGTGTTGCAGGTGTGGAAAGATTCCCAGTGGCTGCGAAACTTTTGCATGCGTAAGGGCACTTTCATGGAACTTTGTGACTTGCTTTCCCTGCCCTGAAGCGCCAGAATACCAAGATGAGAGCAGCCCTCACAGTTGAGAAGCAAGTGGCG